GTTTTGAAGAGATTTTCCAAACTACAGGTGCGTGAACTATCAAGACATCCTGGTACATGCATGTGACTGTCTTGCAGATAAAAGGATGATATTTTTTATCCATACATACATGTACTAATAGCTTTAAAATATTTTGAATCCTCACTTTATGTCTGACTTTCCAAGAACTTTCACATCTTTAAATGCTTCTTTGACATCTTCAGTAGTCAAAACATGTTTTGAATATTTTAAGTCATCAAAGACAATCTGAATCAAATCAGAAAGGTAAGGATAAAGATATAACTTGACAAATAGTATTTATCAGCTTGCCGGTGAAAGTCACCTTAAAAGTAGAAAGTTTTCACTTCGAATTTCACTGTCTATTCTTAATTGATCCTTTTATCAATAAACATTTCTAAATGTTGTTCCTTATAAGAGAAGGGGGGGGGGTACTGAAGTCTTATTGGTCCAAAACTGTCAGAGCTTATCCCAGTTCCATTGATAGCACAAAAGGCTAGAAGTATTGCTGCAGTTATAGTCTCACCCTCCAAATAGGAAGCTATTCTAGTGTAGATCACCTCCCCGCTCATTTTGTAAGGTTTCTCTGACAATTTGATGGTCTCCATCTATACTCCACTGCGAAAAGAGGCACATGTCTTTCAAATTCTTTCCTTAACTATCTGAATAAAATTTAAAGGTTAAAAGAAAGATCAAGCTCTCAACAAACCTCATTTGCTAAACTTAATATATCCAATGGCTGCTCTGCTTGCAGGAAGTCAGAGACTGTGGCTGATCTGAACAATGTGTAGTCTCCTTCATCGTATCCCTCAGCACGTTTTTTCTGTTTCTGTACAAGAATTAAAAATCAAGAATTGAAACAGATTTGAAGTGACATTCTAATGAAAGTGGTTTGATTACTCCCCATGGAAGCTTCAACAATAACTGCTTGGAGCACTAAATCAGAACAATGAAAAATTAATAATGATAAAGTATTAGCACTTGTCTCACGATGCAGTCACTTATGATGTGAATTACGACGTTTCAACTGCATACTGCTAGTCTTCATCAGGTGATAAGGTCAACTCATTTCTTACAATTTACTAACAGGTTTCTTATTTTTATGATTCACATCATCAGTGACCACATTGTGAGATAAATGATAATACTTTATTATCATGATTGTACTTTACCACAATGAATAAGCACCACATTTTTTATGAATGAAAAATTATCCATGATATAAATTCATGTTTTAAATCCTTACATTAAAAAACAGATAATTATTGGTAATATTTACAACTGAAAATAACTGTCAAATGGTTAAGAATATATGAAAGTCATATATTTGAACTGCGGATAAAGACATGAACAAAAGTGATCTTTGCAGTGATATGCACTACTTAGGCAGTAGTGAAAATAAGGCCTGAAAAAAATTTCAGGCCTGTGCGGGATTTGAACCCATGACCTCTGTGATACTGGTGCAGCGCTCTAAAAAATAAGGCTCTAGAAAATAAGGCCAGAGGTCATGGGTTCAAATCCCGTACAGGCCTGAAATTTTTTTCAGGCCTTATTTTCACTACTGCCTAAGTAGTGTACATTACTGCAAGGATCACTTTCATTTGCATTCATGAAAATAACTGTCATAAGTTTAGATCATTTCATGTACAAAAAAATAACAAATACATCAATAAAAAAACATTCTGTATATAGAAACTTACTAAGAGCCACCTTTAACTAGTAGGAAGGGGAAAGATACAATAAAAAACAACAGAAGTGAACTGTGTTCCTTATTTTTTTTTAAAGAGAATGAAACAACCTTTACCTCAACTTGTAAAATACTGACTTTCTTCTTGCCTTCAGGTTCAACCTCCTTGAAAATATGTTTTGGATCCAAGAGTTTTGGATCAATTTTGGCAGGAGCTATGTAACCCTTAAAAATTAAGAAACATGGGTACAAATGAGAAAGTTCAAAATTATTAAAACTATCAGTAGCATGTGTAAAGGAAAGTATAATAATTTATCACTAGGGCATGTCCCTCGGCGCAAAATGAGTTATATTAAGTGTTGCATGATTTCATGGTTACAGAGAATTGAAAGGGAAAGGGTTAGAATACTTTCTTTCCCTTTCGCTCTGCTATAAATGACAAGAGTACCATGACATCTCTTTTTTTTTTTTTAAATTGAAGATTATACCTGGCATACAACAAAAATCTCAGCTGACTCTGATCGTGATGCCTGTGGTTTAGTTGAGTGCACTCTCTTAAAAAGTTGTTGGAAGACCCATAACAGTGGCTGGTAATCTTTGGATCTGAATACCTACAAAAACAATTTGATTAAAATATACATCAACAAAATTATTTATCACTCACATCAAATCAGTTGGTACTCAGAGGTTCTCTAAATAATTAGGGGACTTTAAGAGATGCTTTTAGACTAAGCCTTAGGATACGTCAAATCAACAAAAGATTTTTGGTGTTGGTCTTTTAGACCAACAGAAGACTGTCTGTTTCTCCTGATGTCCACATGAAGATTAATCTTGATCTGATGTTCTATCCAAACACCATCTGGAGGTTAGTTCAGTCAATAAAAATGACTACAAAAACAAACAGAAATAACATCAATTTCTCTCTACTTCCTGATGGTGTTTTGATAAACCATGGAAGATTATGCTAAATATCAATATCACTATCATGTTATAATTGTCATTGTACATGATCTGCCCAATTAAAAAAAATTTAGAGATATAAAGTTGAACTGCAACAGTTACCTTGGTTATAAACCATCCTCCCTCATGTAAAAAGTCACAAGCTAGCTTCAATGCACTGAGGGTCAGCTGAGCTGTTCAAACAAAAGGAAATAGAACATCTTATGATTTAGCATTTTTATCAACATTATCCATACTGCAATGCTATGGTGGGCTTAACAATTTTGCATGCTTTCTTTCCTGGTCAAAATAACATATTTTGTATTCATCTCACCTTGCGTGAATGCATCCTGAATCCAGGCTGACCCAACATTTGGAGCTCCATCATTCAAAACACAATCTGCTTTCCAAGTGTGAATCTCTTTGCTAATCAGCTTTTAATTCATAGAAGAACTCAATGAATAGAAAAGTATATACTATGACATACAGACATACTTATGAGATCTGTATTGAACATTCAGAGTCACCTTAAATCATCAAAAAATGAAGGTGGCTCTTCTCCTATACTACACGATTTTTTTTTCAATGGAAAGATTACCTGTGATATGCTGATTGTACCTCAAGAATAAAATAGCAAGGTTCATTGAACTCATTTCTCAGTTACAAGCAAAAAAAGCTAAATTTATAGGCGTTTCTGGATTACGGTGACCTTATATCTCAAACACTGACCAAAACTTGTCGATAAGTAATTGGACAATTTGGAAATTGTTGATAGTTTATATTTATGACTTAAAAGAGTGAAAAAAGCATCAATTTGCCCAGGAATATGGTTTAAAAACAACAAAAGCTTTCTAAGTCATCAGTGGTAGAAAACTGTAAGGGAAACTTGATGAAATACGTAGGGGGAGGGATGGGCAGACATTCTGTCCAGGGAAGGAGTAAATGATTTAGTACAAGCTTGATAAAAATCTTAACTGGAAGTTTGATTATGTTTAAGTGGATAAAATTTATCATAATCTTTCAATTGTTGAATTCAACAACAATCCTCTGTAAGAGAATGAAGCCACACACCTGTCTACATCTGTCTGTTGTAATATCTTCTTGAATTGTTATGACATTATGAATTGCTTTGATAGGAACCAAATCAACACCTAAAGTGATAAAACATGCAATTAATAAATACGACTTAGGTAATTTGGGTGCAGTTACATGTACAGCCAAGTCATTGCAGTGGCTTCCATGATGTGATAAGGGACTGATTCCACAGAGATTTGCAGGATTTTGGATCAATGTCTATTCTATACATTAGTGTCTTACTGTTACTCTCATCACCTCCTAGCTGGTGGTGATGAGAACTCTAACAGTACCTACCTTCCAATATCATTGATCTCGTGTTAAATATGTTAAGGTTTTAAGTGACAGGAAGTTCAGAGATGAGAAAATAATATCAGCTATCATTCAGATTGAAGAATCCTGTTTATGTGTAATTTAACGTTACCGATAATACAATAGTGGAACAAATTTATGAAATTATTTATATCATTTAAATATATCAGTACTAGTTCCCGCATGGTACCATCCTCGAGTTACTTGGGACAAATCATTACAAAGAGAGTTTGTCAACTACAACTCTATAACAGTAACAACTCACCGACTATAATACTTGACACTGGCATAAACTTAGATGCAACTTGAAGCCTTTAAAAAAATTGTCAAAGAGTAGCAGATAAACATCTTGTACGTTCAATATCTCTTAAACTAATGATCCAGCGACACAATGAATCTTAGAGGAAATGCTGTGCTTATTGATCATGATGAGTTGATAGTAAAAATTTAGAGTCAATAACCGACTTTTATCTAAACTCTTCGTTGTTAATGTTGTAAACAAAGAGATACACGACATACAAGTGTCAAGTTGAAGCATGTTAAAGTTATAAGTTATTACCATCCTCCTGGAGCTGCACACAAATCGATCAGGCACCTTGAGGTCTGAAGGAAGCCAAATTTTCTGTTCAACTGAATCAACTTAAAGGCTGATCGTGAACGGTAACCTAAATGATTAACAAAGATTAAAAGAAACATTACTTATTTTCAGAAAAAAATCAGCCATGGTAAACATTGAACAGCTGAGAAGTGTCTCCACAAATAATCACGCATTCGGACTTGATCGACATTACATACCCGTTTCCTTCGCGAGATGATAGAATTTATCCTTCCTTTGCTTTCCAACTTTAGTTTTTTTGCCCATATTCACTAGGATGAAGAAATGTTTTGGTCAATTTACTGCATTGCAAAATTCTCCACGTGAGAAATTGTAGAGTAGAGACTGGGACTAATGGTTGACTCCGCTGATGAATAATTTTTGTGGGACCGATTACGGACACGTGTGCCGCCATCTTATTCTTCTTGGTTGTGCTGGTCATACTTTATTTAGTAAAATTATGGCCGAGTCCAAATTTTTCGCCGCGGGAAGTTCGGAAAGCGAGTCCTCTGACAGTGGAGATGAACAGCCAGCAGTTTCGAAACCAGCCACTATAACTACTAAGTGAGTAAAACATTGAAAGAAGTCGCAAAAAATTATGTATGGAACCTTAGCAACTCGATTGTACCTGTGAACTTGAAATTCCAGCCAACTCCCTTTCTTTTAGTCAGATAACTTAAAATTTCTGTCATTTTAGCCTTTTTTCGTTTTCCGTGGCCAATCGAGACAGCAAGTTTCTCAATCTACTGTACAATATTTGTTTTAAAAATATACAATTTTGTAACAAAGAGAGGCCACGATATCGTCTTACTAGGGCCCTAAAAAACTATTGGTGGTAAAGCATTGTTTTAAAATGTTTTGGCAATGTTTTCTAATATTCAACACAAGGCTGCTTGCAAGTTTTGGACAGGGATGTCTTGTCGTTACAAATAATAATTGGAATTAATCACTTATATACCTTTTCCAGATCTTTTATGTTCAGCGATGATGAGGAGGAAACTAAGAGAGTTGTGCGAAGCCAGAAAGATAAAAGGTTTGTCAACAATGGTGTTCTCACAGGGAATTTGTTAACTACTCCACATTCTGTTACTGAACATTTGATCATTCCTCTGGGAGTACAGAGTCAGGCTTTTAATTGCATTAATCACAATCAATTTAAGTGATAGCCTGACTCTATAGCATGACACAAATGATCAAACGTTCATTTATTTATTTAACCAGGATAAACGATCACAACATCTTCAATAACATACTTTATACATGTAGTTCTTGATAAAATACAATGTTCATTAAGTGGAAGGTGTTTATTAGATAAAAGGAAAACCATAGCATTTGTCTCATGGTTATATTTTTGGTGGTTAGATTTGTTGTTTCATGATTTTTTTTTTACCCTTAATAATGTTTTGTTGAGTTCTAAAATGAAAAAGGAACCAAGGATATGCAAGATGTAAACATCACAGAGCAAGGGGCATTAGGAAAATTTAAACATTGTTCAGTTTTAAGCTTTCTTTACCCCTAAACTTCCAGATATGATATATATGATAAGTTCCCTTGATATCATGCCAAATTATTCTACCTTATTTACAAGAAAATGTATAGAAACTAGAAGAGAGAGTTGTATGTACTTATGAGATCTTGATTGCTAAGGATTTAATGCTTTCATGTGGTAGGTTTGAGGAGCTCACCAACTCTATTAAACAGCTTAAGAATCACAAGAAAATCAAGGATATTTCCAAAGTTCTTACTGGTATGTTTGTTTCATTTGACACATGATTTGCTGCTTATTGTTATTGGTTAATTATTGTTTAACTCTTAAAACCAGAAACACCTGAATTAAATTTTAGTAAATTTGCCTCAGGAATTAAAAGGGAGAAACCTCAACAACTCTTGGAAAAAAAGATTTCATTTTAGATGTGTCTTCATAGACTCTTAGGGCTTACCCTAACCACAGTTTAATACAAGCAATAAGCCTCAAGGATTCTCTCTAAGAGGGTTGATTTAATTAAATAAATGTCCTTCTACTGTTAGCTTTTAGTCCTCTCAACACTGTTTACAAAAGTAAAGTTCAGATAAAAAGTTTGGCTAAATTGAAGATGGGTTAGATCACAGCTTTTTTAAACAAGGGGCATACTTTGGTTAAATAGCTAGCCCTTGAATTTCATATTGCTGCCTTTTTTCTTTTAGAATTTGAGAATCTTGGAAAAGCTTTCTCCAAAGCAAAAGCTGTTGTTGATAAAGAAGGAATCCCACAGTTCTATATCCGCTCTTTAACCGAGTTGGAAGACTTTGTCAAAGAGGTAAAAAAAATATATTCGGGTAGGGTGCAAGAGTTAATATAAATGAAAAGCCATTAATTTAAGATGGTTTTATTTGTAAGCTGTGCAGAATCGTGGGTAAAGGTTATTCACATTTAGTTTGGTGTTCTAGATAAAGAGCTTTGAACACAATTTAGTTTTAGAACTCTGGTAAACAAATTGTCAGTACTGTTAAGGTGCAAGTAATGAGTGAGGTATTTAATCTGTTAGCTGTGAACCAAAAGCTAAGCTTATTCCACATGTATTTAATTATATATATTTTGTCTCTAGAACTGGGAAGACACAGAGGGCCGCAAGAAGCTTTCCAAAGTCAATGCTCGAGTAAGTCTTAATATTTTTATTGACATAATTCCATAGATCTTTCCCAATTGCTTTTGTGCACTCTGTCATCACCATTCAATTGAGTTGTATAAAGATTGTTTTATTTTTAATTTTACATGGTTTTTTAAATATCTGAATATAAACCTGATTGTGTATTGTGTTTGCAGTCTTAAGTTTGACGTAATATGCATATAAATGTACTACAAAATAAATGTAAGATACAATGTAAACAAGAAACACAATTTATTCTCTCAGTGTTTTTTGAAGAGCAAATTGAAGTTGATCTGATTTCTCTCTGAAATGTTTTGCAACCAATAGGCTTTGGCTACTCTGCGGCAAAAATTGAGGAAATACAATAAAGATTTTGAAGAGGATATTTTGAAATACAGAGAGGTATGTTTCCATGAAAGGTTTTGTTACAAAGTATTCTTTCCTAGCTCTCTAACAATGTAATACAGAGTAAATTTTGACTACCTATAATTGAAAATTGCCCCAAGAAAAGCCAATTAAGTTTATTTTTACCACAACAGAACCCTGTGCCCTCTGGTGAATCCGACCAGGAAGAATCAGGTAACATTTTCAACTTTAACTGTATATATGTGTACATGTAGTATGGAGTTGATAATCTAAAATGTTGTCTGTTACATTTATTTGGTTGAAGGGATTTCAATGCACAGGTGGATCTAAGTGAAGTTAACCTACATGTAATATAAAATGATTGTTTTTTTGGGTGGGAGGGGGATAATTGTTAATTTACTCAAACAATGAACCAGAAACAGAGCAAGAAATATCCAGTTAGTGAAATTCTGTTTCTGTTTTTTAGGTTCAGAAGATGAGGATGATGATGATGATGATGATCGTAATGATTTCCATGGGGTAGAAGATTTTACCAAAAAGAAAGTTTTAGTGGAAAAGAGCAAGCCTCCAAAGACAACAGATGTAAAATGTTTTAGTTATACTTGGTTATTGATTATAAATGTTACCTTTATATGAATCTGTAGAGCTTTGCCTCCCTACTTTCCAAGTTCTGGTGGTTTTTCATCCTTTTACCTGAGCTAGTGAGCTTTTAAGAATGGATGAAACTAGGTGACACTTCCACAGCTGTTGTAAAGGTTACATGTTCTTACAAGTATGATCATTCCCATGAACTTAAATATTACCATTGATTTATTTTAGTTGGAAGTGTTGGAGGTTTAAAAATAATTGGTGCAACAAAGCAATTACATTTGGAATTCTAGAGATATTAAACTTCTCCTCAAAATCAATTTGATCACACTGAATTTTTCAGGTGCCCTCATATTTAAAAAGAGGTGTTTTTATTTATTTTTGGCCTTTTTTTGATTGTAAGAAAGTATTGATTATTTTTGCTGTTAGGCTGGATATGACGAAAATGATGATGATGATGATGACAGCATTGATTGGGATAGCAGTGAAGATGAGTCATCTTCAAGTGACAGTGATATTGGTGGAGAGGGAGGCCCAATGCAATACAGACTCAGCATGTTTCTGAAGAAGTAAGTACATTCTTAGTGTTTCCACTGTTTATTAAATCTTATTATGGAAGAGTTTTTACCAGCCTGTGTTTCTTTATAAAAGCAAAGTTTATTGAAGTGAATAGACAGGTATGTATGAAGATGGCAGGCCTTTTAGTGAGACAAGTGCAATTTCTAAGTATTTCTTCTTAAAATTTAGTAGGGAGGCAACCTTCACATATTGGAAAGTTGAGGAGTTGGTAAATGTAAGTTATATAGCATACATGTAGACCCTGGTAGAGTACTACTTTGCCTGTCAGGGGGGAAATAAGTATGCAACAGAAATGAAGGACACGTTATTTGTCAGCACTGAGAAAAATTTATCTTAGTGCTGACTTCTGTTACTGTAGTGTTTCTTACAAGTCAATCTCTTCTCACAGATGTAGTTGTTTACCATAATTGCACCCTAGGAAGAGGTGTGAGCTTAAGTAGAATTCAGGAGATGGTATGAGTGTGTGGAAATTTGACGAAAACTCTGACCTGTTTTCCCTCCTTTACTACACAGAGATAAGGGCCCGGATGAAAAAGGAAAACACAAGAAGAAAACTAAAGAGAAAAAGACAACTAAGTTGAAGTCTAAAGAAGGTATAGATGATGGTGGAGGTTGGACTGAAGTGAAAGGATCATCTTTGTCAGCTTCGGTAAGTGGTCAGGAGTATAGATGTGTACCAACCATGTGTTTAACTCAGTGTGTCATCCTGCTAAAGATCTTGTAGCAAGACTAGCGGTCACTTCATAGTATATATGTTTATTAGGATAAGGATAGCACATAGGAGATGTGGTCCAACCAGGCTATGTAACTTCCCTACATTGTGAATGATGTATATGAGTTTCAGTACCTGATGATTTTTCTTTTTTTCCTTGGCAGGACAAGGCAAAGCAACTATTCCCAAAGGACACTGAAATCACTCATGCTGTGGTGTTGAAGAAGTTGCATGAGATACTTTCTGCTCGAGGCAAAAAGGTGACCAGCACTGTGATAATCATGAATCCTGACAAGTTTCTTTTGTGAATTAAAAAATTGTCCATTTTAAAATTTTGGGTAGTTGTCATAATAGTAATACAGTAATTGTCTTAACATACATATCACACAGGTAAATAGTGAATAGTTTATGCTGTTGTTTTTGTAGGGCACAGACCGTACAGATCAGATTGAATTCCTCAAACAGTTGAGAGTGATTTCAGACAATGCTAAATTAGGTGGGTATATTTTTGTTCTGATGTTGCCAGATTTTATCAAGGTTAATATGGTGGAAAAGCATAGAGAGCAGCTAATTTAGTGTATAAAACTTTTTGGAGTCTGTACCCTGTAGGTGTCACACATGGTAAACAAATGCTTTCATTTATGGTCATTAATGTGATGTTGTGGTAATTATAAGTGTATGATACAAAGCATTAGGAATATTATCTTCAGTCCAGATCCACACATTTCACATCTTGAAAACCACATATGTTTTCCATGTAGGTGCTGGTATGACAGTGAAGCTCCTTTTTAACATCATCTCTTCTATCTTTGACTACAATCCTAATGTGGCTACCTGTATGAAACCAGAGATGTGGCAGGAGTGAGTGAAAACAATTACTTTTTTTGCATTATAAAATCTGAGATATTGTATGTATGAGGAACCATTTGTGCAAGAGATACAGCACAAAGGGCTAAGATTAAAATTCAGTTGTCATTTCGTGCAGCAAAGTGTAGGTGACAATATACCAAGCACTAGTTCAATTAACTAAATGCAAATGAAATGCAAGCAGTTACTCAATTGCACAGGCCTTTAGTCTACCTAATCTCCAAAACATCTTGACTTAAGTCATCTGCAGAAAAGCATTTTGATATTATTTTGAATGCTTGATAAAGAAGAGTCATTCCTGTCAGGGGTCACTATAAAAGCCATTTACTTGTGGTATACTACTGCCTAAAAGACTTCTTACTTCCTCCTTTTTGCCTAAAGCAGTCTCTCATGTTTGGGTTTCATGTGAGCTTTCTTACAAGTGAGTTGCAAGTGGTGGGGGGGGGGGGTCTTGAAACAAGAACCTCCCTGCAAGCCATTCATTTTTTAATTTCCTGCATTTATCTGAAAATGCAGCTTTCTGATTGATCAGGAATGACAGGAAAATCACAGAAGTGTCAACAAAAATTATCATAAACAGCACTCATTTTGAGTCCCAAAATGCTGGAAACAACAACTATTTCTGAGCTTCTAGATTTCAAATGGTTAATTGGGGGAGCATGCCCCCAGACCTCCTTTTGTGAAAGGGGGGGGTATAGACCCTTTTCTGGGTATAACACTGTCTGCAGTTGCTTATGAATAAAGGTACTGAAACTCTTGCCCTTTACAACTAGGAAATAAAAGAAGTCATGCTCTATTGCCATCAGGCAATGCTGTAATATGATATACTTGTAATTGTATACGTGTAGATGTCAAATTGTGACTCAAGGAAGATAGTACTTCCTAACCTCAGAACCATTGCTTTAAAAGGTGTTTGAAGCAGATTTCAGAATTGTTAGATATCCTCATCAACAATCAAGATACATTAACAATTGGAGAGAATCTCTCTGAAGAATCAGAGAATGTAGAGGTAAGATTGGTCTCTATGATAATGACAATGAGGAGAGTAACTTTGTTGATGATGACAATGATGATGATGATTTGGGTAATGATTACTGGTTTGTGGCAGTTAACATGTATGTTAAGTTCTTCAGCTAAGACTGCTCTCTTGGTAGCATGTAGGATTTAGAATGATATCAATATTAACTCATAGCTTCACTTCATTTTGGAGTTTGTACATACTAGGAAGTTATACTTATATGCATTTGAATGAAACCATTTAGCATTAAATCAATTTAATAATGTACCAGTTAATAAACTAAAATTTGTTGATTAATATTGATCAACATGCTCTCAGAAATTCAGCAAATCTTTACAGCTTTACCTAACCGTTACTTTGGTTGCTATACTTTGTTCTTGGCCAAGACAATTTAGCTTCACATTTTGAAAGGTTTATAGTGATTGTGGGTATGATAACCTGTTGGGGGAACATGATGTCTTCAAACTGCATGTGATAAGTTTACATTTCTTACAGCGGGAGGAGAAACACATCTTGTCAGCTTTCCCCTATATCACATTTATTATGTTGATATACAACATGTCAGCATGGAAAGAACTTATAAAGTTTTATTACTACTACTTGTCTAAACTTGCCTTTTGCAATAATAATCAGGATTTGACTCAAAACCTTAAAGTGCGAGGCTGTCCTCTGGTCACTATTGAACGTATGGATGATGAGTTCACAAAGATGCTTCAAGGGTGTGATTGTCACTCCACTGAATATGTAGCAAGGTAACGAATTTTGTGTCGTTTTTTGTCTTTTGGATTATCCATGCATGATTTCCATCCTCTCTTCTGTAATCAAATGTTTAGTCATCCAAGGCATGTTTGCCATATTTTATGTAGGCCACATTATATTTTGAAGTAAATGCAAGATAAGTTGTCTTTACCTCAGATTGTATTGCGACAGATTTAAATACAGAATCATTTAACAATAGAAATTGCAATAAAATACTTAAAAGTATAATAAATTTTAGAAAGCTGAAAAAACTAATCAATCAAGTTTCAATGTTAATGTAACGTCATTATCAAGTCAAAAAATAAAACAACAACAGGTACTAGTAAAATATTTTAAAATAAGTAAATAACAAAGCTAAACAAAAGGTTTTGCACATGTGCAGTCTGCTTTGGTTTGAGTTTTAAGAAGTGCAAGTAGACTCTATTCATGTTTTTGTGATGTCTCCTATGATTAATTTGTGGTATTTTAGACTTAGAGACGAAGAAGCAGTGTGTGAGTTGATCACCAAGTTACAAGGTTATCTGGAGGTGAATGGCTCAAGACCAGAGATCTGCAGAGTGTACTTACGACACATTGAACATCTTTACTATAAGGTTTGTGTTGGATTATTGTGTACTTGGTGATCAAACAGAAGGGATGGATGAGAAAGTATTTGGCTTACCACACTTCCTTTGTTCTTGATAACCAGGAGCCAAATATTTGCCCATCTGGCCAAACCTTACTCAGTCAATAGCCATTTTATCATATGACCTCAGTCTGCTCTTCCTCTTTCTTCCTTTCTTCTTCTCCCTTTCTTCTTCTGCAATAAGAATGTCATTGTCACTCAACTGCTACTTTGTGACTTTTATGTTGTTGCCATTTGATCTGCCACTGTATGGATTTTCAGCAATATAGAAACTATATATAAATTCTTTGTTTTGTGGACAGTTGTGGTAGTTTCACATATTGTGATGGACAACGTTAATCTTTTCACTGTGACTCCAGCAAATTCTGCCTTCCAATATCAATACAATATCAAGCAGAAATGAGTTGAGAATATATAAAAATTTAATTTTGATCCAATATCAAATTCTCAAAACTAACTTTATAAAAATTTTATGGCAGACAGTAAGGAGAATTACTATTGAAATCTTGGTGGTGAAATGGCTAACTATATTAAAATTGTCCTAGGTTAAGTCTGAGCAGAAGAGTGAAGATGCAAACAAGAATACTGGTAAGTATATTTTGTATAGATTCTAACTGTAACATACTAATTTCTTAAAAAATTGCACCTTAAACCTTAAAATACTTCAATATGACAGGAACTACATCATATTGCTTCAAGGTTTTACAGAGACCAGGGAATCACATAGAAAAAATTTTAGGCTCACTCAGTGGTGAAATATGCACCATCTTGCAAATCTCACATAGGTAAGAACTATCAAAGTGAGAAATGATGTTCAATCATACTATTGAAGGACAAAAACATGCTGGAACAAAATGGGAAAATTACAAGAAAATATTTCACAATTTTGTTTTTCAGAGGTGGAGACATCTACAGACGAGAATACAGAAACACCCATAGAAAAACCGAAGACTAAGGAAGCAAGCTCAAAAGTATCTATTGATGACATGTGCAAGTTCATCTATTCACGAGATACATCAGACCGCATCCGAACCAGAGCAATGCTCTGTCATGTGTATCATCATGCCTTAAATGATCGTTGGTTTGAGGCTCGTGATCTGATGCTGATGTCACATTTACAAGAGTCCATCCAACATTCTGACATTCCCACACAGGTTTGTTGGTGCTGTTTTTTATTTGTTTGCTTGTTTTTTGTTTTGTTTGTTTTTCTTTTATATAAGCTTGAAATTTTTCTCTGTGTTAAGAATTAAGGATTTGAATTTAATCTAGGCAACAAGTATAAAACTAAATTTGGTATTTGAATAAATGATCCATGAATGGACTACACTGGGTGCACTTGACTCAGATCAAATTGTATGCCTTGTGATGGTCCAATTGTGGTGTTGGAAATATTTGGTGATTCTTGAATGTGACTCCCTGCTGAAAATCTTGTAAGGGTGACATTTCTCAGAACAGTAATGACCACATGTTACTGATGAGCTTAGTAATGGTTTTTCATGGTTACTAAGTCCAATTTAATTGTGTGGTAGATGGAGCAGTAGATTTCATACATGGCACTGGTGTAATCTTGTGTTTAGATTGCCTTGGTGCTATGCTATTGCATGTTTCATGAGAGTTGGCTGCTGACTCTTATTTTGTTAGCAGCCTTAGTAGCGAAACATACAAAGTAATGTTTACACCCTGCATTTGTATTTCTGGTACATGCCTGAAACTGCCCATTACAAAAGTAAAGGGGGCAAGTTTCTTTTAAAAAAAAAACTGTAGTGCTGCATTGGTAGGGGTTTTTATGAGATAAGTTGGTTTGTTAGCCCTTTGCTCTTACAAAGAGCTGATGCTCAAAACGTCAGCTTTCAAAACTATTTACACTAGAGAAGTTAATTGATTTTTCTCGTAGTTAAGTCAGTTGGTGGATCAATTTAAAATCATTCAATACATATTGTATGTTGCATACTAATGTATAGTTACAAATTACATGGCCTTGTCAGAGGCAAGTTGTCAAGAGCTCAAAGTTACAAATTATGCGGCCTTGTCTGAGGCAAGTTATCAAGAATGCAAAATTATATTTCAATTTTTCCCTTTGTGGCCTTTCAGATTCTTTACAACAGAACCATGGTACAGCTTGGCCTGTGTGCTTTTAGGCATGGTATGATTAAAGATGCACACAATGCATTGCATGATGTACAGTCAAGTGGAAGAGCCAAGGAACTTCTTGCCCAAGTATGAAAATTATAGCACATTTTGACCTGTGTGTTGTTTTTGTTAATCTGTAAGTACATATTTTTCCTATGTAACATTTTCCTCTTTTTAGGGACTAATGCAACAGAGACAGTTTGAAAGAACCCCCGAACAGGAAAAGATTGAGAAGAGAAGACAGGTATTGCACTTTTTTCCCAATTTTTTACTATAGTTGGTTGATTGTATGTAGGGAAAATGCGCGAACCCCTTTAGCAGTACCCAGAGGATAAAAGAATGTTTGGTAACCTTTGTGTTGATTTAAACACTTTTCCTAACCCTCAAATTACATTTCAGACTGCACTAGATCTAAGTTTTAGCATATTTTAGATTGTTTTATCTGTTTGAAGTTACTTGTAGCAGCTAGCATGTGTAAACACTTTTCATTTTTCAACTTGACCACCACTGACCTGACCTGGAGTGCACAGATTTTGTGGGAGATGTTTGGTTCTGGTTTTCATTCTCGTCATGGAAAGTTCGTGTTATAGAAAACTTCATGTTTAAAATGAGACCACTTGTTTTTTTGTCCTTAACGATTAATGAATTAATTTTTCTGTTTGGTTAACTAAGATGTTAACTTTTCTGAACATTAGGTGCCATTTCACATGCACATCAATCTTGAGCTGTTGGAGTGTGTTTATTTAACCTCAGCAATGTTGATGGAAATACCATGGATGGCTGGTATGTTCATGTATTTCAATTGGCATTTAAAAAGGGTGTTATTTGGGGAAACTTGGAAGGCTTGGCTTGGCTTTTTTATTTATTCCTTTTCTATTTTTCAAGGTTTAATGAATAGTCAGTTAGTATAGGGCTGTCAAGTTGCTCTCTTTGGTTCATTGTGTATGTTAATGTTGTACATAAGATTTTTTTTAGGTACCAGTTGTGTTGAGATCTTCATAGAGGAGTCTATCCCACTCAAGAAAAGAAAGACTAGCTTTTAAAAATCATTCATTGAAGTTCATCAACATTATCATTTTATTTGCCTTTTTAATAATAATGATAAATAAATTTACATTGTCAGAATTACTATGTGAGGAGACCTCAAGAAACTAGCATGATGTTACATCAGCACAAAGTAATTAATATACTATTGATCCTTTTAATTTTTTCTCCTCAATTTTAGCTCATGCATATGATTACAGGCCCCGCATTTTTAGCAAGAGTTTTCACTATCAGTTACGCCAGAGCGAAAAGCAAACATTAGTAGGTTAGTACACACTCCATGTTCCACCTGTCATTTTGTGTTTTAAGCCCTTTTTTTTTTAATTAAGAGAGAAGCTACATTGTGGATGTACAATCAAGTAGATGTTGGTAATATTTTTGCATTTAATGGTAGGTCCCCCAGAGAGCATGCGGGAACATGTTGTGGCTGCTTCCAAAGCAATGAAGAAAGGAGATTGGAGGCAGTGTAGGGACTACATTCTAGCTGTTAAGGTAAAATTGTTGCTTAAGGTAAAACATAATTGTCTTATTCAAAATGTAAATGAAAAGATATGTCTAGTTTTACAATATCAATAGAAAGGATGAATAATGACTATGTGCTAGATGAATAGATTGCATGTATTAGATTGAGTTAACTCAGGTGGATAAATACTATCAATGAAAATAAATTCTTTAAATACAACATTTTCATCTCAATCATTCAATCCTCCTGGATGCGATGACTTGTTTGTTTTTTTTTTTTTGGTTAACTGAATACAATATACCTTACTTTCTTGGAGGCCAGATTAAGCTCTGGGAACAGAGGCTTATGACGGTGATGTACTGTACCCAAAGTTGAGTTCTCTTTGTATGTGATAGGTATGGAAGCTATTCCGCCAGCCAGAACAAGTACAAGAAATGTTATCAAGGTATATGAAGACACCATCATAATTTGCCTCTACAAATGGTTGAAACTTAAAATTTCAGCTTTTCAAAATTCAGCTAACCCTATTACTCCCAAGATCTCATAAGTAATCCTCATTACTGTCTGACATACAATTCTTATAATGTTAGTTTGGAAAGTTTGGTATTGGATTAACTAAGAGTACCATGTTGTATATTTTTCTTTATTCTCGTCACTTGTCTGCTTGATATTGTGTTGATATTGTGAGGATAAGTTCTGTCTTGGTCACTCTTGGGATTGAAAGGGTTTAAAACACCTGAAATGTTAGCTTTTTGAAACTCACTTTGGCTAGTTATCTACCCATAGGAATTGTAAGGTGATGATTTTTAACCATTCTCTCTGTGATGTTTCAGGAAAATTCAAGAGGAAAGCTTAAGAACATATTTGTTTACCTACAACAGTGTGTATGACTCACTGAGGTAAGGGGCAATGTACTGTAGATTTATGAATTGGAGTGAAAACTTTTCAACAATCTTTACTTGTTGTCCTTTGAATTTTATAGGTGATGGTTAAAAATGAGATGAGATTATGACAACTTGCTTAACTTTTCCATGTCCCCCACTAGTTTGACTACTTGTACTTGTAAGCACATGCATCAAAACTTTGAACAGTAGTTTAAATGACCCTTGGGGATCATGATTGGTTCACAAAGGAATGTGTTCAGAAATTTTTTAATTTTGTTGAGAGGCTGTTATGAACTTATGTAAAACAGATCAATTAATTTTATGGGGGAAAATGAGAGAAGGTAATTTGTTTTTCTTGTCTGTAGTCTGCACTTATTAGCTGAGATGTTTGATTTGCCTCCATCTGTGGTGCACAGTACCATCAGTAAAATGATCATCAACGAAGAGTTGCAGGTTGGTTATGCTGTGTTGCTTATGCTGTATTATGTTGTGTTGGTTAAGCTGTGGAAGTTGTGTTGTGATGGTTATGTTGTGTGTTTTCAAAGGGTATTGCCAGGTTAAAATATACCTACTAGTGGACTGAACTTACTGTGTTAAACTGCTGAGCAAGTATATGGTTAATTTTTATTGCTGCATTGAGCTTACTGTGTTAAACTGCTGAGCAAGTATATGGTTATTTTTTTATTGCACAGGCCTCTTGGGATGAACCTACTCAGACAGTTGTAATGCACCGAGGAGCAGAACCTTCCCTTCTCCAGAACCTTGCCCTACAATTGGCAGATAAGGTAATCTTTTTTGGTTAAGTAGCTTGTGTTCCACTCAAACTCAATGAAATAGTTTTTATTGAATCTACATTCATCAACTGTTGATTCCAAAAATACCGGATCCAGTAGCAGTGCTGGGTATTTGTTCTGAGAGAGTGTTCAGTCAATCAAGGCGAAGAACTCTACGTGTATGGTTCGTCATGCAATATATTTACCTCCATATACGATGTGGCATTGTTAAACTGTCAAAGTGGTGATTTGGACAGCAGCACATTGTGAAGACCTGGCTACATTTCAACCACTATAGTTGTGATTATCTCTCTCCTATTAAAATCTATATTTCATTGTTTAAATGTATCTTGTTCACAAATTATCTTTCATATTTTCATATTTCATGGGTATGTTGCAAACTCAGATAATGACCAGCTCCTAGCTGGCTTGGAAGCTCAGGTGCTTAGAGGCTGTGTCGTTTGCATTTCAGGTCAGCAATTTGGTGGAAAATAACGAACGTATTTACGACACAAGGCATGGAGGATTTGTTCAGTTCAAGGATAGGCAAGGTAAGACCTGATTATTTGTCTTCATTGGGTACACATCTTTTCTATGCCTATTGTTCGTTAGAGGTGTCTTTTGCACAAACACTTCTCAGTTCATGATGAATTGCTTGCATTTCCTTTGTTCTCATAACCTTATATATAATAAAGGGTTGATACAGGATAGATAAATTAGATGCTCGTCACTCCTAGTCTGAATGGATCGACATGATAGAAGGGTGGAACTCATCGGGAATTTTCGACTGATTAGAGATTTGTTACAGCACTTCTGGAAATTATTCCATTCGACTTTTTTATCCCTGCCTAAAAAATCTTGTTTGGGTCATTTCAGGTCAAGGACGCTATCGTAGACAGAATCAGCAACATTATGATCGTCAAGACAGGTCTGATAAACAAGACAGACAGGATCGGCACAATTGGCAAGAAAGACATGGGCGACAGTATGACCGGGATAGATCTTACCAGCAGCAACAGGCACAAACAACTTACTGATACTTCAATTATCTGCATCATTTTACCAAATATGACATTGGCAATTGTTTTGTCTTGTCTGTAGTTCAAGGAGGTATTTTAAATCTTCATAAAAGATGTGAGAAGGAACACTTAAGAACTCGGTACTAATGTGAAATTATGTAGGCTACACAACGATTTGATTGGTGTAACCGCTGGAAGCAAACGTTAAGAAAACGTGTCAGGAAACCTCATAGAAGTGATTAAAAATTAAAGTATGAGAGAGAGTGCAAGTTTTGTTTTGTGAAGTTATGTATCTACACCTCAAATTGAATTACGTCTTGAATCCCATCGATTGGCAATGAAAAATCGTGATAAATCTAAGCCTCAAGATTCCCCTATATCTTTATTCTATATACATGCCAAAACCCTATTACACATGTTTCCTGAGCAACACATTACAAAGACATGCTCATTTCTTGAGTAGAGACGATGTAGTCTTTTACAAAGCGTTTCGTCGGCGCATTGTGCCACATGGAGCATTGCTGCTAGTGTGTTATTAAATTCCGCCGTATAATCGCGAAAACTAATTCGGCTGCAGAAGTCTTGTATATAGCTGCACACCTGGGTGATACAGTCGTAACCTCCATAACCAAAACAAAGAGCACACTTCGAACCTGTCAAGAGAAAAGAATAAATATTTGAAAAGACCTCATCTAACTTTCCTCAACCCCAAAATGTTACGTAAAAGTATGTACGCATTGCGGCCCAAGAAGAAGCCGTGTACGTTGAAAGTCGATAGCAGCTCTGAAAATTTTATACGGCTACAATTAACTTACCACCCTCTCTCCCCCCCCCCCCTTCCCACATCTTGTGGGGAGAAATTAGATGCCATTCCCTACTATGGGTCAAGGGGTTAAAATAATATTTTTCTTGTTTATGTGACGTTCATAACGGTACTGGTTGTGAAGGTTATCTCCTTGAAAGATTTAAACACACTGCGTGATTATTAAAAATTGGCCATTAGTTTAAGTTATGTAAACCACCTTATTTCCTTAGTTATATTGTTAAGAGGCAGCTCTTCGTTCAGTCACAGCTAAACGTAACAGTTTCGGTAGGTGTATAACTTTACTGAACGTAAAACGACTGGAACAAGCTCGTGAATTATGAAAAAAAAAGGGAAGAGAATACCAGTTGATATTCTCTTAATGAAATAAGAACGTGTTTGTAATGTTTGGCTGAAACAACGAAATCAAGGAAAATGAGCCTAAACGTAAATCTAACTTAAGATGATCTCAAAAATTAAGCGCGGTTTCGGTTTCTTAGGCGATATTTGTGTAAATAGTAAGTTAAATTGAAAATCACCTAAGCGCATTAATTTATTTTTTCATTAAACACAACGAAAAACTAACAATGAGCTTACCTCCCATGGCGTACTGTGATTCAAAAGCCAAAGAAACGATTAAAAACCACATCAAAGGTGACCGATTTAGCATCCTGCTAAATGGAATATTTCACAAATCTACACAGAAGAGATAAGATCAAAAGTTCGAAAATTCGAAAAAAGAACAGATCCATAAAAAAAAATAATGTGTGAAAAATTGCATTGATTAAAAACACCAGAGGGCACACAAGAGGAGGGAAAATAAAAAATTCAGGGAAACTGCAAATCAACAATCACTTTTCTTCGTAGAATAGAAAAACATCAAATGGATCACCTTAAAAAAGATTTGACTTTGATTAGAGCTGAAATATCTAAAGTTGTCAGTCACTAATTATTCTTTATAGAGACATACAACACAACATAACATTGAAAAAGGTAACAATGTACTTGAAGAACAACAACAAACAAAACAACAATAACATCAGCAACTACGGTTCTGCATCATATTGGTTTTCATTAACCCGCAAAAATACTAATAAATATAATCCCCCGCAAAGCTCTCTACGAATGTCGTCAGATCTTCTCGCTTGGTTAAGCTAAAGGTCGCGCAGATTGTACTTTAATACCTTAGAAATTGTATCAGTGTCAACCCCACTAACACTGATCTTAGACTTTTGTTAAAGTAATGCTTGAGAGGGTTACAAAGATTAAAATATTTCTATGCTTTTGTTACTCACTTACAGCTTCTTTGCCAAAAGTGTTTCCTGAAACAACACCGAGCCTTCAGCGTCGTTCAGCTATCGAGGATGGATCAACTTGCACTTGAAACAACAACAATACCGTAAAGGTAGTATCCCGATATGTCCTCGTTGAATACCGTCAGGGCCTGAGAATGATCAAGACTCCACTGAACGCGGCCTCACCTTCCCTTGTTCAACTGGTATCTGCTAACAATCAATTTGACTGAGGCCTCCTAGTGAACAACGTGTTAATGAATTTATTTAGTTCCTGAATACATGCATTGGTTAACTGGTTATTTTTTTCTCCGTCAATTACAGCTTTTGCAGCTTTAACTAAAAGTATAACCTGTAGAATTGGTCAATTGGTGCCAAAGACACCTAAGGTTTACCTTTATTCTGTGAAAGCACAACCCTCAGAATTTTCCGTTCTTATTCGTATAGGTAATCACATGATTTCGAGTACAATTTGGAATAAAGAAGCATGAGTAAATATTTCAAAGACTAACAATTTGTGGTCTTCGAAAGAATTTACAAATGCTTATTTATTCCAAACTGCACGAGAAAAATCATGTGATTACGTATTAATACTACACATGATAAAATACGAGATAGCCTATCATAATTGTGCAGAAGCAAAGCGCGCGCGCCAAGTGCAAAAATAATTTATTCAGACCCTGCAAGTAGCATTGTGCGTTCGGTCAAAACAACCGCGTTCGATCAAAACAGTAATATGCAATGATATTTTCACATCTTTAAAGCGCAAAAAAGTTCAAATTCCGGCTAAACAGTTAAAGGAATTGTTCAGTCTGGTTTGTTACTTCTTTGCACCGAATTAACCCTCTTCTATATTGAATTACCTGAAAACTGCATTTATCTTAACCAATAAGAACTGAGTAATTTTTTCATGTATCTTATCAATAAAAAAAAATATTAATATATTATTTTGTATAAAGATAAAGTTTCCAAAATTGGAGCTGGAATCGTGTGAAATCGGCCGGTATCATCCAAAATCTGACAGGATGCCTCCAAGAACAGACGTTAGCGTCTGAATTCGTGAAGAAGTGTCTGAAAACGTATTATATGTAGTTGTCCGAAATCTGACCAAGCTGCTCGGAATCAGACCGATATGTTCAGCTCATTTGCATCGAACATTCTTTAGAATTGATTTGGTTTCTGTCTGTCTTTCTGGAATTATGGAAGGGGTTCTTAGCCCTACTTTGTTTTTTTAAGACTTTTTTAATTCTTGATGGATATTCTTTGTTTTTTGAGAATATTATCCACTGAGTAAACTGGCAGTATTCCGTGTAAGGTTTGTACTTTCAACATTATCTTGTGTTCTACTAGTTCGAGGAACGGAATCGTCTTTACATGTGTGTATCATTTTATCTTTGAAGTTGTAGTTGCACTTTTCCATCGAAAATGATTGTTAAAGTTTGTTTACATATCAAGGTAGATTGCTAATGCACTTTCTGATGTAATAAGATTTTCTTCCGGTTTACTTTAGTGCGAGCGGGAAGCTGGAGCCGAGTAATCATATATCGCGCCAAATTTATTAACTCAGAGTGGCTAATGGTGACTTGGCCACAGTAACAATCTATGCACGGAAGGGAAATGGCGTCGAACCGTTCAAAGCTAGCCAGTTTGATCTTAGATGATGGTTCTGTATACAAAGGGAAGCTGTTTGGATCAGCTAAGTGCGTTGCTGGTGAAGTTGGTAAGGCATTACTTAGTGTTATTTGTTTTCAAAAGTTGACTAGTCGAGCATCGAACTCACGTGTTCGATCCCTTTTCCTCTACAGTACCGAAATGGTTGAAATAAGCCCGTGAAATCGTTGTTCAAAAGTGAGAGACTGTTTTATATTAGAAATTTTAGAGGCTGTAAGTTCTGATATGCGAGGAGAATGGAATTGTGACTCTTTAATTACATAATTAAGTCTTGTTTTCTTCGTGTACAGCTTTTTCTGTCATAGAATAGAATACATTCTAACGAAACGACATTTTTTTACTTACTGGTAAAGAGATTCGACAAAAAACTTTGTCATATGAAACCAACCAAAGGGAAATGACATGAAGGAAAGCTTTGATGTACCTATGTGAACGATTAAGGAAAATGTAGTGTGGCTTAGTTTTCTCGTAACCTCTTGCACGTGGTAGAGAAGCAGTAGATATGTTAGCACGTGGTACATGAGCAATAGCAATGTTGAGAAGGTCCCGGATGTCAAAGCATGAAATGTGACATCCGGTCACAAATGTGGCTGGGAGCTTGTAGGAAAATATTTGGAAGATAGTAGATATATCAGTAAATAAAGTTTTCTTACATTAAAGCCAGAGAGTTTATCATAAACAGGCATGTTTAGAAATATGGATAATCAGTTTTAAGACATAAAAGCTAGCTAAGGATGAGATGACATTCACTAAACCCTTTAATTCCCATGATTGGCCACGACAGAATTTTTCCTTACAATATAAACACAATATCAAGCAGACAAGTGATGAGAAGAAAGAAAATATTAATAAGGGGATTACATAGTTGATCTAATACCAAGTTCTCCAAACTAACATCACAAGAGCTATATGGCAGACAGTAAGGAGAATTACTTATGAGATCTGGGGAGATAAAGGGTTAACTCCCACAAGTGATTAACTTGTAACTTCTCATTATGATATCCATAAACTATCTAGCAAAGAGGTAATGAGAATACTCCAATTTATCAGGTAGAAGTTGTTATCTTGACATAGTGCCCAATTCTTGTAGCTAATTTATAATAAAATGTATAGCAGCCAGAGAGGAGAATTTAAAATCAGATCTTAGGGTTGATGGGTTAAGCTAACACCATTTGACTCAAAGTCCAACAAAATATGCTCTTAATGCCAATAGGTCTAAAAAAAAAAACAATTTATAAATGAAAAAGTAAATAAATAACTAACACTTTTATGATTAGTGTTTCAGACTGGTATGGTTGGATATCCACAATCCCTCACAGATCCATCATACAGATGTCAAATTCTTACTCTCACCTACCCACTGATTGGAAACTATGGAGTCCCAGATGGAAAGAAGGACTCACATGGTTTAACAGCTGAGCTTGAGTCAGATAAAATCTGGGCAGCTGCACTGGTTGTTGGTGATTATGTGGAAGAGTACAGTCACTGGAATGCAAAGAAATCA